GTTACGTAACAGGGAATGTTCCACATTTGGATGTATTTGATGAAGCATCAAATATCATAAGATGAGCTAACTTCTCACTCCTCTTGTTCTTTAAGTGGAAACGACTGCTCTAAACAACATAATTTCTCCAATTAGTAAAGATGCTCCTCAATATGTCACGGACTGATTGCGCCATCGTACCATGCACTGCATGGATTTAGAGCTAATTGACAGCCGTGGTGTCTGGAAATCGTGCAGTCACGAACGCCAGATATAAACCACTCAACAATATGCCGTGATGGATGCCTGGATGATCTTAAAATAGCCTCCACGAAACAGTCTGCATATCTTTGCGAGTGCGTACCTCAGAAACTAGCGTAGGCTAAGTTTTCAGAAGAGCATGACTGCAAACTGCACCGAATAACCTCCACGATGGCTATTTAAGCTAAAAACCCAATAGAACTGCGGAAGATTCCCTTTAACAGGGCTCTTTCAATACATGAGCGTTTAAAACACATGCAGATATATATCATTGCACTCAGAACTGAGCAAGGAACACGTCTGATCAGCTTTCGTTTGGCCAAAATACTTTGTCTCGTAGGTATGACGCAAAACCAAAATACTGCAATTTTTTGGAAATTTGACCCTTGATCTGACATAATAGGATCAATTACTGGCCTAACGACACACAAACTAGTACCAATCGCGAGATCTCGTTGCGACCAATCCACTCGTGTTTTCCTCTTAGCTTTGTCTTTATTAGTTTGGAAACCTCAGGGCTCGCATCAACTCCCTATTAGTCTGCGTTATGACAACATGCGAATTAGGGCAAGGGTTAAAGCTGTCGTCTGGTTTATTCCGATAAGGTTAAAGTTCATCGGCTACGTTTGGCAGTGCTCCTTCGATTCGAAACATCGTGTCGAATATAGCTTAGAGAAAAAGGAAGTCGTGTAAACCAACATTTAAACCCGTTATTCCTTACCCAACAGATTCCGTTTTTCGCACCCACCGTTGCAGCAATGCGCCCATGTTAATAAACGGCGCAAATTGGGACATTTCTCGCAAAACCTTCCAACAAATCTCCGAGCAATGACATATTTTCAGGCAAGCGTAGAAAACGTTGCGCAGCGGGCGCAAACTCTTGCACCAGCTTGCATGCTGTAACGGCTGGTTGTGAAGATAATCAGACATTGTCCGGACATTGTCGAATATCAGTAAAATATCGCTTCCAAAGGCCTCAGATAAACATGTACACGTTCACAGAGACATTACCAAAATTTCAGGGTGACCGGAACTGAACTTATTTTGTCCCTGATTAAACTGGCAAAGGGTCAACCTTATACCTTAATGATGATACTTACGCATAAACATATCTCCGGATGGAACGTATGCTTTCATACAAATCAATGTCGATGTTGGAAGACGCTCACTCTATTCCGACACATTTTTGAAGGAAACACGCAGCTAAATTGTTTCCAAGACATGCAGCCTAGATTCGGTATCATTGATTTGGCTTGCTTTCATTCATCTGGAGTGACCTATGGAATCTGCAAACTATTTTCGAACTACAAAGTCTCCTTCGCTGGAGTCTTGAACCACTTCCGCCATCCTATTTCTTTTCATGCTTCAATCACATGCCAACAACCATCACTTCGACGCATCGCTGCTAACAAACAAGAAGCAGGCGATGGTTATCAAGGTTGACTTCTGGGTTACGCAACTGGATAGTGTCACTGGTATCTGCCTTCTTAAACCGCTCTTAGGAGTCACCATCATCCGTTCTGGGGCTTTAAGATAGTGATGTCACGTGAAAAGAGCATAGCGAAGAAAAAATGAGAAGTGTCAAGACATGTCTCAACCTATAACCCCGTGGTCATCTGTATATAACTGATAGAACAATTTCTTACGACCACAACTCAACATATGACGCGTAGCTCTCCCTATGTTCAGTAGGCTAGAAAATATGAAAAGCTACGCCGCAGTTCATTTGCATCCCTTTCCAGTGTCTTTGGAACCTAACACGAGTTTACAGAAAGACGGTGCGAGTTTTCAGTATTGAATTTCCTGCTTGAATGAGCCTGATGGACAGGCGTACATCAGAAATGCCTTGCTCGATGGAGGCCACCCCGGTCGATGGATGCATCGCGAGTGCTCTGTTCGTTGGAGGAGACTCCGGTGATCGGGTTCATCAAAGGTGCTCTGCTCGGTGGATGACATTTCCGTCACCGGTTACGTAACGGGTGCTCTGCTCGTTAGAGGAAACTCCTCCGGTGACCGGGCCCATCAAAGGTGCTCTGCCCGGCGGAGGACATCCCCGTCGCCGGGTACATCACAGGCTACCTGCCCGGTGGAGGACATCTCCGCCGCCGGGTACATCACAGGTTACCTGCCCGGTGGAGGACATCCCCGCCGCCGGGTACATCACAGGTTACCTGCCCGGTGGAGGACATCCCCGCCGCCGGGTACATCACAGGTTACCTGCTCGGTAGGGCGCAAACCGCTGGAAGAGTCCACCAGCGGTGCTCTGCTTGTAAAGAAAACTCCGAGGGCCTGGCGCATCAGAGGTGTTCTGTTCAGTGGAGGACTCCCCAGGGAACCTGTGCATCAGAAGTGCTCTGTTTAGTGGAGGACACGCCAGGGAATGGGTGCATCAGAGGTGCTCTGCTCAGTGGAGGAGATACCCTCCTGGACGGGTACGACAGAGGTGCTCCGTTCAGTGGAGGCGATACTCTCCTGGACGGGTACGACAGAGGTGTTCCGTTCGGTGCAGGAGATACCATCCTGGACGGGTACGACAGAGGTGTTCCGTTCGGTGGACGGACGCGTCACGCTCCCCGGCCGCCCGCTCCGAGTCGTCCCCGGGGTGATTAATTACGCCAATTGTGCTGGCTGCGGTGGTAACTGCCATCTCCCGAGCGACTGATGGCGAGCCGCGATGAGGCGCGCCTCGTGACACGGCGGAGGGGCGGGCGCCCGTGTCGGCGCCGGTGTCGGTGGAACGACACGATCGCCAGCAAGCTGCACGATGGAGACAATCACGTCTGACTGACCAGACGTGACGTCACGTTTCTGCCTAAAACTAATTGTTTTGTTTAACATCCGTTTGCGATGTTGGGAAAAGAATAGTTCAGCTGCACCACGCGAAAAAACACTCGCCTGACCTCAATGTTGCGTAAATGAAACAGCTGGCAAGCCCAAAGACACCTCATCACGAAAACACCCGCTCCGCAGCAGTCGAAAAAAGACGATCGCAGTGTATCCTCTCTTAAAACTCAAACGACATGTGAGGATGAATGTGATACGGAAGCGTGCTAACATTAAAACAATCTTTATCGCGTTTCGCCCTTTTGTTTCCCCATGTTCACATTCCCATGTTCGCTTACCCATGTTCACGTACGATGAATCACTATCTAAATATCCTCCTAGTGCTACTTCCGCCTCCAGGCATTTCAGCCACTCGTCTCGAAATATACCACCAGCTCCGGGGTGCGCCTCCATCTCTCCATGCCTCCACACGAGATCAGCGAGATCGTTGCGCAGATGATCCCATTGGGTTGATGCCATTATGTGATTTGTACAGCGAGCCACCACAGCTCCAGACGGGCACCGCTCCGATCACAGCCAGGATAAGGGTCGAGAGAAAAAACGAGCGGCCCGATAAGCGAAAAGAGCTTTGTGGGCTTTGTATGATCCGGCGGCTAACAGTGGGACAGTAGATGGGCCGTTTGGCACGGTAAATGGATTCGGTGTTCGTATGGATTGACGGGGAAAGGAAGCTGTACGTGAATGATAATCATTGGCACTTGGGGTCTCCCCGGTTAGCCTCGTTCGTCATGGTTGGATTTATTTGGTTCACGCGTGGTCCACGGTATACCTCCATTCATGAAACCTAAGCGATACTATTTATAACGTAGGCCAAGGAGGTTTGAGCGACACTGTCCTCCATTCATGAAACCTAAGCGATACTAGTTATAACATAGGCAAAGGAGGTTTGAGCGACATTGTGCCGGGTGCCGATCAAACAGACTTACAGTAGCGCAATTTTGCAGATAGGTGGAGTGAAACTATTCCTGATTATGTGGCCCCGTAACGAACGGATGTGAAGGTGAATATGTGCTTGTACTGTGACATGAATATCTTTTCTGTGCTATTGTTTTGAATCGAGGCCTCCTGTTAACTATCCATGCACCGATCTGGAGTGTTCGGTCGCCCTCACCCACAATCTCTGTCTTAGCTCTCTCATACGTAACATCGGACTGAAATCACCAAATTACTCCTTCAAATCTACGAAATTAGTGACAATCAGCTCCCTCAAACCAGCTTCGCATGAAATATGGTCTTTGATCACCCGCTGATTGCCATAGGGCCCTTCTTAACCTTATACCTCATCACGATAGCATTCAAACATATCTATTGTATATTCAACTAGAAGAGCAACTCCAGTTCAACAGTCCATGCTTGCCGAGAGGTTTTAATGTCTGTCATATAACACATGTAAGCACGGCAGCACGGACGGCCATTCCAGGCTAATCAGGGGTTGGCTGCCAATTGAATGCTAGTGGCAAGTTCAGTAAGCGTCATTTCTGGAGCGGGAACCACATGTCTGCCTCCTAGTAGTCAGAGGGCATACAAACCATACTTTCTGGGACATTGGATACACTTAACATGACGCGTGCTCTCAGTGCATCCGCAATTCCTAATCAACAGACAGAGACACCAAATACATCAATGATGACGTCGCACTCCGCAAAAAGATACACCATATTCCACTTCAAACAAAAGCAGCAAGTTGGAGTCGATGCGAGCCGGCGGGCACATGAGCTGCCGCGCCGTCGACCGCTGCTCTCGGCGCCTCGCCAGACCGCCGCCCCACAGTGCCGGCGACTGTGTCGTCATGGCGTGGGCCATCTGTCAGATTCGGCAGCCGTCGCACCAGATTCGGTCCGACTGGGCCGCCGCAGACACGGACGATCGCCCTGATCGCCCCGCCATCGATTGCTGACGCCCGCCGCTTTCGGCAGATGACGGTCGACGGCTAGCAGAACGGCCGCGCCGCCGGTGCCGCTCGTCCACCTGGCGAGCGACTGGCGAACCATGCAGGAGCCGCTGGCCAACCACGGCGGCGGGGGCCCGGGCGGGCCGGACGCCGGTCACGCGGAGACGGTCAGTGGTGACGCGCGTCTCTCTCTCTCTTCTCTCTTCTCTCTCTCTCTGTCTCTCCTTCTCTCCTCTCTCCTCTGCTCTCTCTCTTCCTCTCTCGTCTCTCCTCTCTCTCTCTCTCTCTCCTCTCTCTCTCTCTCCGAGAGAGAGGTGAGAGCTCTCGCTTCTCGCTCTCTCTCTCTTCACTCTCTCTCTCTCTCTCTCGGATCGCTCTCTCTCTCTCTCTCTCATCTCTCTCTCTCTCTCTCTCTCTCTCTCTTCCTCTCTTCTCTCTATCCTTCTCCCTCTATCTGTTCGCTCTTTGTCCCCATCTCATTCTCATCTCTCGCCCATCTTTCTTTTGTCCCATCTCATATCTCTCACATTTTATTGTCCGTCGTCCATTTCCATCTTTGTGACACGTTTCCTTGTCGATGTCCCTCGTGTAGTCACATGTCAACCCACGCGCTTAAGAACATCTCGCACCGCTGGCTTTCGTACCCTGGCAATGCTTTGCACCCCGCCTCCCTGTGGTCTCCATGCATCATACATTATCGTCATCCCTATTCATAGTACCTATTCTGTCTTCCATTCCCTTGAAAACCCTCTTTCTCTCCTTCTCCGCGCCACGCCATCCACGACTCTCGCATCTTCTCGGTTTTAGCACCCTGCCCACCAGGCGCCCTTCATGCATGCTGGATGTTCCTCATCCTCCGCCTCTCTCGCGCCCCATCCAACGAACGGCCCAGCCACGGCACTGGGGGCACTTATGTACATCTAATGGGATTAGGCCTCTCCCAGGAGGATGTGGTGAGAAGTGTGGGCGTAAGAAGTCCGGCGGCTCCCAGTAATGCACTGCGGAAATCCCTGCGACTGTCTAGAAAATAAGTGCGCAGGCGAAAAAACTTGCATCGCTTTCTTATTTAAATGTACCAGTAAATGTATGGTATAATCATCTTGTTTCTCTTTGTGTTTTACACTCGAGGCTCTGAGAAATCA